GGTGTGTGTGCCTGCAGCCCTGCCCCGTCCTTCCATCCCATCTGTCTGCAATTAGCTGGGCTGCCTGCCGGCTCGCTTCTGAATTCACTCTCTCTCATCCTTGCCAATCCTATCCTTGCATTCGCCGGCTATCTCCCCACAGTCATTCTGGGCTGGGCGCTCAGAATTGGCGCTGTCAGTGCTTCTTCACTGCTGTCCCCCTCTGATCATCCACTGTTGTTGCCTTCCGCTATCTGTCCCTCTGGGCCTTATTTTCTCCGATCTTTCTCCGTGCTTGGGTGTGCGCACACACAACCGCACCCTATACTTCTGCCTTATCCGCCTATGCTCAACTAGGCTACCTGCTGACTCACCCTCAAATTCACTCAGTCTCCTTCCTGGTGCCATTGCCATTAACACTTCACTCTGAAGATGCTGACAGTGGATCAGCAAAAGCTAAGTTTGTTTTAGTATTGTAAATAGTTGCTTTTATTGTTTTAAATTTTTTAACAATAAACAGCTGATTTATATTCCTCCCGGAGTTCAAAGATTATGTATTATTGAATATCTATATCTATATCTAATATCTATCTATCTATCTATCTATCTATCTATCTATCTATCTATCTATCTATCTATCTATCTTGTTGTCTGTATTTTCCTAGAACATTGAAAGTAGTGATATTTTTTCTTAATTGCAACTCTTTTAAACTGTAATAAATCACTGAAATTCCATCTAGCAAGCAGCAATCATTCACCTTACCTTCAAGAGTTTTGCCACAGTGTTTACATGTGAAATGATGTGGCCAAGGCTTGTCTTCATCCCCAACAGGTATGTTGAAGTATGCTTTATAGGCCTCGCACATCTTTCACGGAGTACTTTTTTTACTCTTGTCTTGATAAATTGTCCACACACATAGCAAAATGCATCTGCTGGGAGAAAGCAAGTGATGCTAACTCAAATATTGCTATTCATTATTCTCTTACTCAGCAATTAGACAAAGTAAAATGCTGCTTTAAGGCAGCTGACCTTTAGAATTTTATGGACACTATGGGATAGTTCCAGAAAGTGCTAGAAAATTGTAAAAGATTTCAGAAAGATCTAGCAAATTCTGGCCAATTCTAGAAACTTCTGGACAGTTTTCAGTTCCAGAATATTTGGGAAGTCTACTAAGCATTCAATGTGAATTGAGAATGTTCTCGAAAACAGATAAATTTCAAAGTATCACTGTCCTGACCACAGAAACAACGTTTTTGTGGAACAATAGCTGTTTCCTATTTATTTTAGGCATAAGGTGTTAAAAAAAACACACTTTGCACCCAGGAACAAAAACTAAATTGAAATTTGTTACATAGTGCTGGGATCATATATTTATGTCAGAATTCACAGTAATATTTTATTCATGCTCAAAATAAATTGTATTAAAAGAATTTAATAAATATTCTTATTGATTAATTGTGCTTCCAATATTCTTTCTCCTGCAAGGAATGGGGATCTAGTTTACAAGAGCAGTGAAAACCAGATTTAAAAAAAAAAATAAAAAAAAATTCAAAACACAAGCAAACAAAAACTCTATGATAATAAAGTGTAGGAAAAGATGAGACATGAAATTTACATCCCTTCCTTTCTCTTCATTTCCCTGTCATTCCCTTCCCTTATTCCTTACATTTATCCCTAAATATTGTTACATCTCTATCTTTATTGACCTGAATTCTCTAGAAGCATTTCCTGAGTACATGGGGAAGTGGGGCGTTGATAGTTAGGTCAGTCCTTAGCATTCAGCTCGAAATTTCGACTCACATTTGCTTCAATAAGAGTACAAATCTGTGTACAGCTGGGGATTCTGCTTTATTAGCATCTCACTTCATTTAGAAAGGATGACTAGTGCAGTCCTCTTTCAGGCTACCAAACTTGATCCAACTCACTCAGCCGCCTGTGATTGCCCCAGGATCACTCAGCCACAGGAGTAGAACAGACCTTCCCCTGCTGATGGATCAAAACTCTTTAAGCTGTTGATCGAGCATATTGCAGGCATAGAAGTCAACATGTCTTTTGCTGGAATAGAAGAAACTTTATCTTGGTTATTGCCCCAAAATCATTAAGCCAACTATCATTCATACTGCAGGAGTAGAAATCATTGTTTCCTGATGCTCGGCTCAAAGTCACTTAGCTGCCTCTTGAGCTTATTGAAGAACAAGAACTCAGCATACCTATTACAGGAATAGAAATAAACATCTCTTTATTATTGGTCCAAAGTCACTCTGCTGGTTATCATGAATATTGCAAGAATGGAACTCATCTTCTCTTTTGATTAACCCAGTCACTTATCCACCAGTCATGCCTATTGCAGGAATAGAAATAATCATATCTTGCTGACTGTCACAAAGTCAACCAGACATCTGTAATTCACATTGAAGGAGAACACACCTTCTCTTGAACATTGGCCCAAAGTCACTTATTCACCAGTCATACTTATTGGAGGTGTAGAACTCATCATGCCTGTTGAAATAATAGAAATAATAATCTGTTGGTTATTGGCCCAAAGTCACTCAATCAATTGTTATGTATATTGGAGAGTAGAACTCATCTTCTCCTATTGATTACTTAGTAATTTATCCAACAGTCATGCTTACTGCAGAAGTCGAAATCACAATGCCTATTGTAGGAATAGAAGTCACCATTACTTGATTATTGGCAAAAGGTTACTCTGCTGACTATCATGGGTATTGCAAAAGCAGAATTAACCTTCTTTTGTTGATTAACAAAGTCAATGTGATGCCAGTTGTACAGAAGTAGTAATCACCATGCCTGTTGAAATATAGAAAAAAAAATTCTTGGTCATTGGTCCAAACTCGTTCAGCAAACTGTTGTGCGTATTGCAGGAATAAAACTCATCTTTTCTCAGCCTTCTGCCGAAAGTCATTCACCAAGCTTTTGTGAGTATTAGAGAGTATAAGTAAACTTTTGTTCATTTACTCATTCACTTATCCATCAGTTATGCTTATTGCAGGTGAAGAACACAACAGGCCTATTGCAGGAATAGAAATAACAATCTCATAGTTATTGGCACAAAGTTACTCAAGCAACTATTGTGCAGACTGCAGGAATAAAACTCACTTTCTACTTGTGATGTGCCCAAAGTCACGAGCTTTCATACATATTGTAGATTGCTACTCACTTTCTCCTGTTACTTTACTAAGTCACTTATCCACCAGTAATGATTTTTGCAGGTACAGAAGTCACTCTTTTCTCATTATTGGTCCAAAGTAACTCTGCTGATTATCGTATTTATTGCAAGAGGAGGACACACTTTCTTTTGTTGATTATTACAATAACTGATCTACCAGCTATGCAGGAATAGAAATCACCATACCTATTGCAGCAATAGAAGTAACAATCTTTTGGTTCTTGGCCCAAAGTCACTCAACAAACAATGGTGCAAACTTTGATCTTTCATGCATATTGAAGAGTACTCCTCACCTTCCCCTGCTGATTTATTCAGACACTTATCCACCATTCATGGTTTTTGCAATTGTAGAATTCACCATGCCTATTGCAAGAATAGAAATCTCTCTTGGTTATTGGTCCAGTCACTCAACAATTGTGCTGACTCCAGGAATAAAACTCACCTCTTCCTTGTGATCACTGATCTTTCATGAGTATTGTAAAATACAAAAAAAATTCTCCAGTTGGTTTTCTTGGTCACATATCAACCATTCCTTTTTTTGAACATCTAGAATTCACCATGCATACTGCACTAAAAGATAGAAGAATATCTTGGTTATTGGTACAAAGTCACGCTGCTGATTATTGTGAGAATTGCAAGAGCAGAATTCATCTTCTTTTTTGATTAATGCAGTCAGTGATCTTCCAGTCATGCAGGAATAGATATCTCCAAACCTACTGAAAGAATAAAAATAACAATTTCTTGGTTATTGGCCCAAATCACTCAACCAAATATTGTGTGGGCTGCAGGAATAAAACTCACCTTCTCCATTTGATTACTGACCTTTCATAAGTATTGTAGAGTACCATTCACCTTCTTCTGTGGATTTACTCACTCACTTATCTACCACTTGTTATTTTTGCACATTTTGAACTCACTATGCCCATTAAACTAAAAGAAATAACAATTTCTTGGTTATTGTACCGAAGTCACTCTGCTGATAATCATGAGAATTGCAAGATCAAGGCTTACCTTATTTTGTTGATTAACCCAGTAACTATTCTCCCAGCCGTGCAGGAGTGGAAATCTCCTTCCATACTGATAAAATAAAAATAACACTCTATTGGTTATTGGCCCAAAATCACTCACAAAATGCCCACATTATAGTAATAAAAGTCACCTTCTACTTGTGACTTGCCAAAAGTCATTGAGCTTTCATGCTTATTGTAGCATACCACTCACCCTCTCTTTTTGATTTATACAGTCACTTATCCACCACTTGTTCTTTTTTGCACCTGTAAAACTCACCATGCCTATTGCAGGATTAGAAATAAAACTCTTGGTTATTGGTTCAAAGTCACTCTGCTGATTATCATTAAAATTGTAACAGCAGAACTCACTTTCTTTTTTGATTAACATAGTCACAACTCTGCCAGTCATGCAGGAATAGAAATATCCCTACCTACTGAAAGAAGTCACCGATCTGCTAGTTGTGCAGTTGTAGCTGTCTCAATGCCTATTGTAGGAATAAAAATAAGATTCTCTTGGTTAATGGCCCAAAGTCACTCAACCAACTATTGTGCAGTCCAAAGGAATAATACTCACCGTCTCCTTGGGAAATGTCCAAAGTCATTGACTTTCATGCGTATTGCAGAGTACCACTCACCTCCTTTTGATTTAGTCACTCACCTATCCACGATTCATCTTCTTGCAGCTGTAGAACTTTCCATGACTACAGTAGGAATAGAATTAACAATCTCTGCTTGTTACTCTGCTTATTTTACTGAGAATTGCAAGAGCTGAACTCATTCTCCAGCATGGAAGGAATGTAGAATCCACACATAGGTATAAGAAGTCCTCTAGCCCAGTGGTTCTCAACCTTTTTAATGCCCCGACCCCCAACCGGTTGTAAGTCGAGATTGCTCAACCGGTCGTAAGTCAAGGACTACTCAACTGGTGCAGCACCATTTGCAGAATGGGACTTTTGGCGGGCTCAGCAGGGCAGAGACAGCCTGGACAATTCCTATTGGCTTTTGAAAGCCAATGGAATTAGACTTTATTCAAGAGAGTCTATTCTATTGGCTTTCAAAAGCCAATAGAATAAAAGGGAGTAGCACAGCTAAGGAAAAGGGGAAAAAAATGGCGGATTGCTTTGTTTGGTGACCCCCGTGAAATGGTCGTTCGACCCCAAATGGGGTCCCGACCCACAGGTTGAGAACTACTGCTCTAGCCCATTAGACCAAACAATCAAAGTTGCCATGCCCCTGCTGGGCCGGACCATGCCCCAGTTTCTTTTTGGTCTCAGCCCAGAAGAGAAGTGGTACTTTGGCTCCCGGATTGAAAAAAGATTTAGGAGGACAGCTAGTACAGTATTTGCCTTTACTCATTGCATGGATTCTTCATTCCTTTGGCCAAATAGCCAGCACTGGGCTCAGCACTGAACTAGCTGGCAATTAGCTTCTTTTCCTTGCCCTTGGCAAATTCGCCCGCTGCTCAGCTGATCAGCGCTATTGCTACTTTCTGCGCAGCGCGTTGATTGGTTTTTTCTCCTTGTAGCCTTTCCTGGTTCCCCCTTTTGGGGTTGATTCTGCCGGTCCCTTTCCTGCTGTTTCTCATAGATTTTGTTTTCTTTTGCTTTCGCCTTTTCCTTCCACGTGGACCGTCGCCGGCAACATTTTGAGGCTCACCGCGCGATCGTTCCTTTCCCAGCTGATTTTGATTACTTCTACTGTTCACTTTCCTCTGTCCGCGGGGTCAATCAGGGCAGTTTGGACCCTTTCCCTATGAATTTTGACCAGCGAGGGACAGTGTTTCCTCACTTTTGCTGGGGGTATAGGGGCTCCTATATACCTCATTGCATCCCAGGCCCTGCATCTCCAATATCATGGACACCATTTTAGGCCACCATGTGGCTGACGGTGGAATTTCAGTTTTCATTTTCCTCTGCATCCTAGAGGTTTCATTTGCCATTAATCAGTTGCTATCTGCATTTTTCTTTGAACATACAATGATAAACACCTTCCACATTCCTGCCTTCCAGATTGCTCTAACTGTTGAGCTACAATCAATTGGGCTGTTTCTTACCTTGCCTGTTTCTGCTGTCTGCATCTAGTGGACTGGCAATTGCTGTGCTAGCCACCACTAAGTGAGACACGAGGGTCATCCATTAAAAATAATAATAATAAATAAAAATAATAATAAAAATAAATACTATTAATAAGTCAATTGTTTACAGTACTAAGAACCAAGGACACTGAACAATTGAAAGGGGAAAGTACAGCTCCCTTGGGTGGCATGCGACTTACATCTCGCAGTGTGACTCTGCGCTTAATGGTGGGCCAGACTTCACAAACCCTCATGTAGGCCTGTACCACCTAGGTGGGCCGTATCCTCATCTCCTGCAGACCAGGACAGCTTCAGAGATCTGCTGGTAAACTCCTGTTTTTATTCAACATGGCGGATAACACCGTTCCACAGGCTTCCACTTCCAGTGGAAATAAGAAACACAAGTCGTCCAACCAAGAAGCAGCCGCAAAGATCAAGGCCAAGACTAAATGGGCCTCTAAGGTGCTGAAAAGCAGGCAGGTAGCAGGCATAGGGCGTTGGATCAGGTTCTGGCCACTGAAATAATCTCTCCCTCAGTGACTTGTGGAACCCCGGAGAGTTTCTCTCTTACGGGTCTGCCTCAGATTCTGTCGGCATCTTTCACTCCTATGGCGTCGGACCTCCGGTCCCTGGAACAACCTTCATTTATTATCCAGCTCCAGGCCATGATTTCGCAGGCGGTGGCTCAAGCCATGGCCGCTTCTGCGAGGGCCCTACTGAGCCTGGGGCCATCAACCCTCCCTCCGTCTGTGGGAACTGCATGGCCCAGGGATTACAAGTTCCCAGATTCGGCCTCACCACCACATTCTGGTGGCAGCGAAGTATCCAAATATTTTGAGCAGGTTCTTGAAGAGGGACTGTGGTCAGGTGATGAGGACACCCCCACAGAGGCCACTCCCTTGGTAGGCATATTCAATCCTTCTTCTTTCCCTTCACTCTTATGCAAGGCCTGCGCCAAAGATCGAGCCGTTAAAACCCCAAGCGTCCGATCAGGATTTTGGCCAGAGTTCTGATACACTGTTTTCGGAACCAGTCACAAAGAGCCAGCAGATACCTTGCCCTCTCATGTTTTTGAAATCCATTCAGGATCAATGGGGTTCTCCCGGCACCTTCTCGGCCCTTGGGGGAATAGACCGTAAACTTTTAGATACGGTCTCTATCCTCAATGATGCGCTGGAGGTCTCGGGAGTAGATGAGTCTCTTTCTCCCATTTTGTCAGACTCTAAGATTCCGAGGGATATGTCTGAGGCTCTGAAGGCTGAGGACAAAAAATCTGAGGTTTCTTTCCATAGAACACACCAGGCCTCAGCATGGGCGATAAGAGCTTCCACATCAAACTCCTTTTTTGCCAGGATTTCACTGATGTGACATTGCGAACTTCAGTCCAGAATCTCCCCAGATGATGTAAGAGTGCACCAGATGTCACAAAATTACGGGCAGCACTAGAATACATGGCAGACATGTCTTTGCAATCAGCCAGATTTTCGGCCCATGCCACAGCCTCTAACACAGCAGTTCTCAACCTGTGGGTTGTGACCCTTTTGGGGGTCACACAAGCCTTTCACAGGGGTCGCCTAAGACCATCGGAAAACAATATTTCTGATGGTCTTAGGCAGGGCTTGTCAAATGCCTTCTCTCCCTTCCCCCCTCCGCTCCACCTCACTTGTTTGTGGAAAATATGCTGCTTGGCGGCAGTCTGCATGAACTCTACCAAATGTGCCCTGCAGGGGGTGCATGAAGAGCGCAGGCGCAGTACAAGGCCCTGTCCTCCCCAGAGACTAATTGTGTAGCAACCGGATTGACTTCTCAAGCACGCAGGTCAGCGAAGGGGAGGCTGCCACAGCACCCAACTCCTGCGCCCGTCAGCCAGGAGGTCTGGCGACAGCTGCCAGTCTCCTTTACCACCCCGCCTGTCCTCGACTCCTCCTCCGCCCATTCATATTGAGCCTGCCGGGGCTGGACAGGAAGAGAAGGAAGGAGGAAGAGACTCCTCCTCCTCTCCTAAGCTTCAAAGCACGATCGGCTTCCCAAGGGTGCTACAATCCTCACAAAAGTGGGGGGGGAAGCAAACGGGGTGAGAAAGCTCATGGCAGGCTCGAAGGAGCACCTGTCAGCATTGGTGACGAGAAATTCCCCACAAACCCAGGGAAGGGGTGGAGAAAAGGAGCCCCCTTTGGGAGGAAACCACCACCTTCTTCTCCTTGGCTTTCCGCTCTTCTGTTCCTCGGCAGTCGGGCTGCCAAGCCTTTGCTGGCTGGAACTTCCTTTCCTTCCTTCCCTCTTGGTCTCTTCCTCCTTTCCTCCCTCTCCCATTGTCCCTTCCTTCTTTCCTTTCACCTCCCTTTTTGTCTCTCCTTCCCTCCCTCTTTCCCCTTGTCCCTTCCGTCCTTCCTTCCTTCCCTCTTGTCCAGGATCGGGGCGAGCCTCTACAGGTGATCTGCGCTTCTGCAGCTGTAGCTGCTCTCCTTGGCTCCTGCCCAGAAAACTTGCTTGAGTTTGATAGAAAACGTGCAGCTTGCTAATTTAGCAGAAGTGCGAATCAGCTGTAGCCCGGCACTGATCCTGGAGCTTCTGCTAACTTAGCAAGCGGCATGTCTTTCGGCGAAGCTGAGCAAGTAAGCTGGGCATTGCTCTCCTGTCTCTGCCTGTGCACAGGCAGGTTTGCTGGCAGCAAAGCCCCCAGCCACGCTGGCAGCCTATCCCCCTCCCCTTGTCTCTTACTGGGCAGGGGGGAGGAAGGAAGGGACTAAGAGGGAGGGAAGTAAGAAATAATGAGAGAAGGAAGGAACAGTGGAAGGGAGGGAAGGGAGGAAGGGAAGAAGGGACAAAGAGGAAGGAAGGAAGGAAGGAAGGAAGGAAGGAAGGAAGGAAGGAAGGAAGGAACAAGGGGAGAGAGGGAGGTAAGGAGGAAGAGACTAAGAGAGAGGGGAAGGAAAGGAAGGAAAGAAGGAAGGGACAATGGGAGAGAGGGAGGGAAGGAGGAAGAGACTAAGGGAGGGGAAGGAAGGAAAGAAGGAAGGGACAATGGGAGAGAGGGAGGGAAGGAGGAAGAGACTAAGGGAGGGGAAGGAAGGAAAGAAGGAAGGGACAATGGGAGAGAGGGAGGGAAGGAGGAAGAGACTAAGGGAGGGGAAGGAAGGAAAGAAGGAAGGAAGGGACAATGGGAGAGAGGGAGGGAAGGAGGAAGACACTAAGAAGGAGGTGAAGGAAAGGAAGGAAAGAAGGAAGGAACAATGGGAGAGGAAGGAAAGAAGGAAGAGACTAAGGGAGTGAGGGAAAGGAAGAAAAGAAGGAAGGAAGGGACAAGGGGAGGGAAGGAAGGCAGGCACCCACCCCAGTCCCGTCCCAGAGACCCACAGATTCCCCCCCACAGGCACTCTGCAACCTGAGTGATCAGCTGGCCATGCCCCCTGGCCACTGATCACGTGACCCTGGGACACTGTGAATGTCATAAATATGAATCAGTTGTCAAGCATCCGAATGTAAATCACATGAT